TGCAAACAACATTTCCTCTGATACCGAGATAAGAAGATGGCATTAACTGGTCACACCCTCCTAAGACTCTCATAATGAGCAGTACTGGTACTACAAATAGTGCAAAAACAGCGCCCTGTCAGGAAGCTGCTTCCCCTGAACCTTGAGTTGTCAGAAAAATACAGCATTAAAACAAGAGAAATTCGTCTTTGACATTGCAACGTATTTTTTAATTAAAAATGAACTGTTCTTTTTACTCGTGGTTGAAAAGAGAAAAGTTTCTCATTAGGCTGCACGTCTGAGGTTTTTGTTTGAAACGCTGCAGACGAATCAAGATTGAGGTGGACAGTCTCTACACGAGCGCCCTCCGGTGGACAAATGAATGTGCTGCTCGTACAGGTTTCTACACATTCACGTGCAGGTTGGTCTCATACACATAATAATGGAATATTGCGGAAACAAAATTAGGATATTTGATTGTTTTAGTTAATTAAATTCTATCCTACTTTTGAATTGTACGTTTTTTTTCTAGAAGAGATTATTCTACAATATAATAAGTGCGTGGTTAACAACGTGTAAATAAAAGTAAGAAATATGCATGTACTCCACATTCAGAACTAGCCACGTTCACGACTGTTTCATTTTAATTTACATTAAACCAGTAACTAATTTATACGAAGAAGCAATTTGTTCTGACCTAATACACGTTAAACGTTAGCGATAATATTTGCTCAGCGATAATTTGCCCAGCTGTCTAGAAGTAGTAGCTAATGAAATAATTAAACGGGCAGCAACCTGAGATTGACTCACTGCGTGCAACGTTATCTTTCAGTCAGGTTTAAAAGATGTTTTCTCATGCGGCAGTCACTTGCAGTACGAGAAAAGTGATTCCGAGAGGTACATTAAACGGTAATCCCTGAGGGGAAAACGAGTTATTTTGTTTTGGCTTTGAGATTAAGTTGAGATTTTTTTTTAATTTTGTTTTTCAAAGATTCATATTTCAAACACCTGGTTGATGAAGCATAAGTTCCTCTCTTTCTTTTTTTTCACTACACTTCCCAGGTTATTTGATTCATTAATTCTGTGGAGAATTGTAAATATGTGAACAGTATCCCTTTGGCAGATGGCTTCAAAACATACCATCTGTTAACATATTGAAAGTAATGGGGCTTATAACTGCGAGGACTTTGAAACACTCCTGAGGGTACAGTCCTGGAGAGAGTGCTGTGGTAGTCAGTTTTCACCTCTGAATATTATGGGTAGAGCTACTATTCTTTTACATGGGCTTTCAAGGATGGAGGAATTCATTATACAAATGACTATAACAGGCTAGCCCAGCCAAAGGTGATACCATAATCTAACCCGTCCTCATGGATATGGAAGGAAAACAGGTATTTTGTCTTGTTAAAATAAATTGTAATAAATTCCTGTAGCAGTAAAGGAAGGTAGGGGTGGTATGACTGAAGTCCTCAGCACAACAGGGCACATGTGAAGACTAAGTCACATGCTACAGTGTAACCCTGTCTTGCCTATTAAAGGCCTTATAGTCCTTAAAACATCTGGTCCATGTCCCTCCACCACCAGTCTATTTCAGTCTGGCCTTGGCCTGCCGAGCGTGTTTCCACAGGCTCGACATCTCTTCCAAACCGACGCCCTTCCTTCTGCTACTAGTAAGAGCTCATCTTTCAAGCACAGACCTCCTTCTCATTCCTGAGGCTGTGGAGCCTCACCTGAATGATGTGTGCTCGAGTATCCACTGGTTGTCTCTATGGACATGTTGGACATGACATCTCCTGGGAAAAGCTAAGGTTGCTGCTGGAAGAGGAGTTAGTGGGGTCAGCAGGGGGTGGTCACCCTGCGGTCTGCGTGGTTCCTAATGCCCCAGTGTAGTGAGGGGGACACTATAGTGTCAAAAAAGGCGCCGTCCTTTGGATGAGACGGTAAACTGAGGTCCTGACTCTCTTTGGTCATTAAAAATCCCAGGACATTTCTCAAAAAGACTAGGGGTATAACCCCGGTGTCCTGGCCAAATTTCCCCCTGGCCTTTACCAACCGTGGTCTCCTAATAATCCCCATCTATGAATTGGCTTCTTCACTTTGATGTGTAGCTGATGTGTGGTGTGCGTACTGGTGCACTATGGCTGCCATTGCCTCATCCAGGTGGGGCTGCACACTGGTGGTGGTGGAGGGGAGTCCCCATTACCTGCAAGGCACTTTGAGTGGAGTCTGCAGAAAAGCACTATATAAGTGTGAGGAAGTCTTGTTCTTCTTCTTACATGTGAGTTAGTGTAGTCACTCCACTGACTTCTATAGGACATTTTATCATGATACGTGTGGCTGAAAATGATCTTCATTTTATATTTCCATTGGACAGCACACGTTAATGGTTTGGCAGCTGCCTTGGGAGTGGATGGAATGGAAATGGAAGGGAACAGGTTTTGGTAATGTGTTTGCCCCCCTCACAGTGAACAGTGGTTTCCACGGTAACACCATGTCTGGCATGAGCATTGCTGTTAAGTGACATTTTTGGCTCTGTGGTGCTCTCTGTCTGCCCCACAGCCAGTCACAAACAGAAGCTCTTCCTCACAGGCATGAACCTGAAATACGCCAAAGAGTAAAAGGCTCAATGAGATTTTGTCGGGATGTGTTTATTTCCCCATAAGGATTTCAACATATTTATTGATTTTAAAAAATGGCATGGATATTGAGTACTTGTACATGTATTTAGCCCTCAGGTTCACAAATAATGCTCTTTTCCTTTATGTTTTCTGCATATCTTAGTCATATTTAACTCCCTGTACATTTCTGTGTTTCAGAAATAGCATATGGAAATCAGTTTGCAAAATTACGAATGCTGTAGCTGCAGAGCACAGCTGGGTGTCGGAGCACAGTGACTGTGAGAAATGAAAGGAGACAGCTCGCTATCCACATTAAAGGAAGAGGAGTCCCAGGAGCCCAGGAGGTTGGGAGCAGCCTTGCGGAAACAAGAAGGCTGAAAGGTTTCCTGTCTCATGGTCCTTTGAAGTTTAGTCATTTTATGGATGCAAATGTTAATCAAAAACTAACATTTTATACACAAACACCTTAATGTAAATGATTTACATGACTGCTTTATTACTCCATTAGAAAATATCAGATCTCTAGAATTGTTCAGAACAACGAAACTTTTATTCCATAACTTGCCAATAAAATTTAATTTCTGAGAATTGCCATTCATGTATTGTGTTTTCTTGCTGTCAGTCCTCTGAACAAAGACACTGTTGGTTTTTTTTCTTGTGCAATATCACTGTATGTTTCATCTGTTCAGTACTCCCATAGATTTTTCTTTACCCTGAGGTGAACAATAATGGTATTGTCAATCTCCCACCTCTTGTTTTACATTTCTGTATTTCACACTTTCGTGATATGCATCTAAATGGAGCAATATGTTGCCAATTGTTTCTGCAAAAACTAAATAAAAATGCCGCTCTATTTCTCTAAATGCTCTTACTAAACTTATATTTTACAGGAGATTGCTAATATGCTCTCACCAGAGTTGGATCATAGCTGTAAAGCGCAACCGTTTTAAAGGAAATTAATTCAATGAAACATAAGAGAGGCTTCAAACGAGAGGACTCCATTGGGCCCATCTAACCAGGCTGGCAGTCAGCAGGTAATGGGACTGAGGGTCTCATCCAGCCGTGTTGTGAAACAAGTCAAGGTTTTGGCTTCAACAACATGGCTGGGTACAGTAGTTTGTTTCTCACTCCCACAACTGGAGGCTAAAAAAGTTCAGCTCTTTCAGTGTAGAAGAGTCATTTAAAGCCTAGAAAGTAACAGGTAACTCATCTCTGTACGGAGTCTCGGACACCAATATATTTTTTGTAACTTGGTAACCTCGATTGTATTCTAAACAAGGATGGAAAACAGCAAATACTGTAGGTATCAACTTACCTGAATCCTCAAAAAAAGAATATAGAAGGAATGGGATCGGGCAATTCATTTTTCCTGCTTTGAGTCCTACATTGAAAACACCACATTGACCTTGCCTGGAAAAGCAATATGTCACTTAGGTTGATAATACCAATTCAGTGGGTTGAAAGTTGGTGGAGTTAATGTTGCGTGAAAACAGAGAATATCCTGTCCCGGCCCCCCAGTGCTATACCACTTGAGGAATGTAGGTCCCATTTCTGCATTGACAGACTCAAAAAGTGGTAATATCTACAGTATATCATCCATTTTCTGGGTGAGACACGTTCTGGGATAAGCTTTCTGGTGGAAGCCAAGAAAAGTATGTTTCAATGGCACTCGGGGACATTAAATCTGCACCAGATACTATTGGTTTCATTTGACTCATTTGTTGCTTTTAAAATGCCTTTTAATATATTTAAAAAAAAAAAATCTTTTACCTTTCCAAAACATCATTGTCAAATAAATCATTCCTTCTCTGAAGCATGATTCTCCTCCTGACTACAGAGGATAAAATTGGTATGAGCCATTCAACATGTTCCTATTTAGGTATTTATGTAACATTTGATTACAGATGTCATGTGCTAGTTCTTTATGAGTGGTGTGCTAGCACCTATGTTACTTACAAACGAAGGGAAATCCTTTTAGTCATTTGCACTCAACAGGTTATGTTTGCGTTATATGTGTTTGTTTTAAATAGTCTTACTTGTATTTATATGATTATGGGCCATATTCCTAAAACTTTCACCATCATGATAACTCATTATGAAAAACAAGCAGGAAAAGTTGTGACATCACAAATTTTTCTGGATGCCATTTTAAGATGTAGTAACATTTTTGTTTTGTAGCATTGGGAGTTTGTATCTCACAACATCATTGAAATTCTTAAAACAAAAAAAGTTTTATGATTATTGTCATGAGTGTTCTGAATATGAACTCCACCGTTTTTACGCCTTTAAAGAGTATTCTGTCATCTAAGATGTGAGAGGCACAAGAATTAAAATGTTAAGTATGAAGTTGAGCTATTGTCTGTCATAACATTTCCTGTTTAGAATACAAAAGAAACCCAGCAGTTTTGGAACAAATATTTATTATTGCAGAAGAAAACACCTGTAAGTCCATTATTTTAACCCCCTAGTTATGTTACCAGAGTAGTTTGTAGTTATAGAAATGCTATGCTAATCCACCATACAACGGAAAATATTTTGGTGGGCAACACCTGCTCATTTTATCACTGTAAAATGGTTACCGTCCAGAGGAAAATGTTCATTTGTGTACACATTTACTTCATTGCGTTGGTCGACGTGTCATTGTTTGCCTTCCAAATAACCTTCCAAATTCAGCAAAAGAAGTCCACATTCAGACAATGTTTTTAAGAGTTAATCCTGTACGGAGTGTGAGAAGATGCTTTTGTGAGTTTTTCCTCCTCCAAAATTCTGGCAAACTGTTTTTGTGGTTTTGAAATTCCTCGAGGAAGATGATTGGCAGTCCAAAGGGGAATGTGATAACAGAAAGGATAAAACTCTGACAGGAACAATGCGATACCCAAGTCTTCAAAACCAGAGCATCTTTGTCAGGAAAAATCCACTTACACAGAAACAGAAGAGGAAGCCAGCCACGTCTTTGGTTGATATCGCTTTCAAAGTCAAAACCCTGTGCTGCTGGCATTGAGAATTGCCTTCCTATTTCAAATTTGCTCTTCAAGTTCAGCAGTGAAGACAGCAAATAAAAAATGCCACATCTTAACAAAACATTTATTTAAGCTGAATCTTTGGAATGTAGTAGTCATAGATCAGAGTAAAGAATAAGAACAGATACAGGTGAACTCTTGAGACGGTCCAATGTGTCAGAGTACAAACGTTATTTAAAGTTAAGGCCTTGCTGTTTTTTTATTTCTTTCTACAACAGCAAAATTACAGAAGCAGTATTGAAAATAAAAGTTTTTTTTTGTAAAAAAATCTGCACAAAAGTTTATGACAGTACAAAACAAAGCAATAATATACCAGTAAAATGGAAACATTACTATAGGAAATTTGTATACCTTTTTTCAATAATGAAAACATCTTATTCGTTTTACATTTCAGAATTATATCACATAATCTGAAACCATATAAAAAGAAAAAAAATCGTAACACTGTTTTTTTTTAGTTTTTTGTTTTTACAAATCAATATTATAAACACATAAACTTCTTAAATATATTTTTCAGTGCAACATTGTTTCTTTTTCTTTCAGGCTACAGTATCCTTTTTCTCTAGTTAATAAACCAAACCTTTACAGTTCATTAAATGGGGGGATATCAAGAAAATAACAGAGACAGAAAATCTATATTGACAAATACTCCAGAACATGCACACCAAAAATGGAGACCAACTATGTTTTCTTTTTACAACATTGTTCTGTACATTGTGGCCTTAAGGGGGTGTCATGTGATCCACAAACCAGACCATTTGCTCCATATTTATTTTCCAATTAAAACTTTAAACACCTCTTGCCCTGTTCATTGATTTTCTTTGCCAACCATAATCATACATCTTCAAGTAACACATTCATGGCTGGAGAAATGAAGACTGAAACTGTGAGGGTACTAGACAGGGGTAAAATGTGGTAAGTGGAGGTAAAGACTGTCATATTCTGGATATGTTTGTTTTACTGCTGCATTGACAAAACATACTATATGTTAGGTCACAGTGAACATTTCTGCAAATCAACCTCTGAGAGTTACCACTGATGTATTAGTTATGCATGGTCTTTTCATACACCTGCATTGACTGTAAATTACCTTAACAATATAAGTTATTGACCCTTAGTAAACACACAGAATAAACTAGTAGTAAGATACCAATTTTAATACAAATACTACTACTGTATATTCCATTTCTTAACCTAAATCTGTTAGATTTATTCTCGTATGTATTTATTATAGATTTGTCTTTCTACTCACTTTAGGTTTAGTTAACCATGTGACACGAAAGACAGGCTTTAACAGAGAACATACCTACATTTTTACCAGCAATCAGTACTTAAATTTATTTTCCTATCAAGAGTATATCCTTGGCTAGATTACTCTGCTTTCTTCTTAACTTTTCGTTAAGTTTTACATTTCTGTGAAACGAAAACTCACATCAAAACCAACCAAACTTGTACAATTGACCAAACCCAGAAAATTTTGGACTTTTCAAATTGGGCACTACAGGGTTAGCATTTGGATAGCTAATCAGAAGTGAAGGCAGGCCAATGTTTTTTTGATTTTCTGGCAGACATTTTTCATTCCTCCTTCATTGTGACAGTAAAATGAAATCTGGCAGCGTTTCTTCATAGAGCTCGCCTACGACACTGAGATTGTGGGAGGTACAAATTATTTGATACACTGAGACAAAAATTGATGAGAGCACAAACAGTCTGGGTTTTTCAGCTATGGGTTCAGAATTACCATGAGCAACACTGAATATGGAAAAATGACCTTTTTTTCTCTGTTGTGAATAGGCACATAAAGAAGTAGTTTCCTAGCAACACAACCCCATAATAAAACTAACCTGAACCAGATGTAGTTTGTTGTAGATATGTTGGGCTCACAGATACCTTAAATTGAAACAATTTGTCAATAATGGCTGAAGAAAGAATTGGAAAATAAAGTGGTCGCAGATGTTTTGATATCGGAAGATACCCTAGCAGGATTCACATTGCAGAATAATTTTTCTGGGTGCAACTCATAATATAATGCAGTTGGCTGTTTGGCATACTTTCTGTCTGATAAATCATTTGAATAGTTTTCAATTTCATCTACTCTGAAGACACACATCCTTAATCGTGCACTCTAACAATCTGACTCCTAATGTACTGTCAGGGAGATAATACAAGATGCACAAAATCCACAGATGCACTTCTTCATTAAGCAAAAAAACCCCTAAAACGAACAAAATTTTTATCAAGTATTCAAACAATTATTCCCTATAACACACAGCCATGGAAAAGGGATACTGCAGCTTTTAAAAAGGGCATTAAAATATATTAACCTTATATACAACACACGTGGGTCTTGTCAATACCAGCCAGCTATCTCTGACTCGCCCACCTCATGTCATTTTGCTCTAGTGTTTAGAAATAAAGGGATGTAAAACTCCAAAATCAACAAAAGAAACCAACAAAGATGTAATAAAGGCACTGCAGGAACCATACCTGGGCTGACAAGCACAGTGCCCTGGGGGAGACACAGTGTATGTCCCCTAGGAGGGCAATACTACATATTTGTCAGTATGGTTCATTTTGGGTTTTTACATGTTTAAAATAAAGTAAAGGGCGTTATGCTTTAAAATGAACAATCTCCTTCCAGAAAAATGATAAATACTTTAAACGTCATCTTAATTGGTCTCAAAACCAGCATCCGATTATTAAAATGAAAAATAAAAAGTAAAAAATAATAATAATCTGACTGTACATATTTTGAATTATTGTACACAGTGTCCCCTGCTCATAGGTTTCTTTCACTGTAGCTCCTGAGAAAAGCATGGCTCAGTCATAGTCCCACACCACCCTGCAATCCTTTCTCTCTCTTTGAAAGACCACCAGCATTCCTGTTTGCCACCTCAAAAACTACAAGTCTTGTCCAGGCTCCACGCCTTCACTCATGCTTCCGAATAGGAATTCTGTATGTTGAGTTTGTCTTTCTTTAGTTTGACTCCATCCACGAGTTCAAAATTGTAGTTCTCCAGGGCGGATAAGTTCCTCTCCGAGATTCCGCCGTGGGAACAGGCACAGTAGAGGACAACCCCGCAGATGGCTCCCAGAAAGACTCCAAGGGCGCTCATGGCAATGATAGTAATAAGAATGGGATCTAAGGTCTTCAGCATATTCCCATTATTGTCTTCATGTTCCCCAGTGGAGTCAGGATCCATGGTATAGTCTTCTACTGGGACAAAAACAAAATGCAAACAATTAACTCACAAACACCAACAGCCCTCAGTATCATATTTCTGTTTAAAGCTTTTACTCAATCCTAATATTTCAAGCCTGAAAATCCCTCATCGTTTAAGGCAGAGATTTACCTTAAAAAGTAGGAGTCATAAGCCATGCCAAAACTATTGTGATAGTGCGTGGAACATCTTTTCTGTGCTTTTCTCCAACTTTCTACTCAATGTCCGCGGATGAGATAGAACACTGGTGGGGAACCACTCTTTCTGTATTTTTATTTTTACTTTAAGGGCGAGCATGAAGGTTTTGGTAATGAAAGTTATTCTCTTTTTTGAAGAGAAGGTTTGTGCCTGAGCTGAGCTGCTACTGGCATGTTTCTGGGACGCACGAGGAGACATCTGCTTGAGGAGCTGATACAACTGCTTTTATTAAGGGGACAGCCGCTGGCAATGATGCTATTATTCCAGGCCCACGCGGCTGTCAGGGAGGTGAGAGTGGAGCCATATTTCTTGTCTCTCTGGGCCCTCTAGTGGTGACCAGCGGAGTCGCGAGATGAAGAAGATCTCCGCTATGTCACATTATGTTTACTTTTAAAACTTTACTTTAGGAATTATCAATGACAGGGGAAAAGAATGAGCTTGGTAAAGGCGCGCACTTGCATGCAGGTTGAAGTCTGTGACCCAGGTATCACTAGGTCGAACCTGGGTCACGTCACTAGCTGACTGTGACTGGGATTGCCCAGTGGAGAGATGTATCATTGCTTCAGCTGCGCTGGGGACATGGTGGGAACAGTGAGCCAAGGCGCCCTCTACTGTCTTTAAGAACGACGGTCTCTTGGTTTGTGGTTTGGTTTGTGGGGTACGTGCCTCTCCTTCAAGGGATCTGCTGAATCTGCTGTGCTCGACACAGAGGGACTGTGTCGTGGGGACCGTGATGAGTTAAAAGACAAGGGGCTCAAAAGTGGGCAGGTGAGGGGCGCCTGCCTTCACTTCCTCATCCTCCGCACAGGGTCAGGGCAGGTAGCCATGGGCGGAGACGTAAAAAAACATACAACCAGCAATTCCAAAAATTGGGCTGGTGTAACAGAACAAAATAATTGTGATTCAAAATGAAATTACCATTTCGAATAGTGATGATAGTACACAATTACATTTAGAAGACACAAAAGAAAATGGCATACCAATTTCATTGTAGACATCATCTGGTTCTCCAGACTCTGTTGGAAAATTAGGGTCTGAAAAAAATACAAAAAAACATGCTTAAAAGTGGGAAATATGCAACAAGTTACAGTAAGAAGATTTTCCGTATTGAAAGTCATTTCAGATACAGGAGACTCGTTTCACAGCCGTCAATAAGAACCTAGGCTGGCATACCTACTGTAACACCAGGTACTTCAATGCTAGTGCTAATTGGATTCCCTGAAGCTGCAGAAAACCCTGATGTTGTCAAAGCCCAAATGTGTTGAGCAGGAAGATCTTTAGTAGTACTGGCATTCACGAAGAAGATACTCTGCTCAGCATTTGTGAATTAAAATGAGCAATTAAAGGACACTTCATTTAGCGGATGATCCATTATATCCTGTAAAAAAATTGAAACTCCTTCATATATAACAACGTTAGAACGAACCACATTTGTCTTATTTCGATTTCTCTTCTTTTGTTCCTGTCACTCATCCGTTTTCCCTTGTCATTGTTTGAGTTGAATACATTTTAGTACCGTCTAAGAAACATACAATGCCTGGTTTTCTGTTTTTCTCCGCTTGAGGCCTGCAATGCCTTATTCTGCTACTCACCCTTGCAGTCGGCCATGTCAATGTCCTGAAGTATCTTTAAATCGTCCACTGCAATGTCTCCCCAGCTTTTGTTCTCTACTACACCTTCAATCACAACCTGTTGGAAAGGCAATCATTAGCTGAAGGAACCACTTCGGCTGTAGGCGTGGTGATGCGCAAACTGCTTGCTTTAATGATTTCTGTGAACATAAAAGGCCGCTTCTGTTCTTTTATCTATTACCTGATTTCAGAAGTAGGGCAGAGAGGCACCAAAGGCATAATTGAGGGGGCAGAGTAATGAGATGAGGGGCCTAGCTACTTCCCCTATGAGAACTACAGAGGGATGCAGCTCTGGACAATTTCAAGTAGCCAATGCAGCCCGCTCTGCAAGTTTTCGACATGAAACAGTTCGGCCTAAAGCAAACCTGGATGAACACAGTGGAAACTTCAAACTGCATACAAAAATGAAGCCCAAACCAGACCTATGAGGCAGCAGTGCTAACCACTGCAACACTGTGTTGCCTAAAAGTATGTGCAAATATATCAAATGTATATATACATAAAAGTGTTCGACGGAGTAAGTGTTGATGTACTTTGTTATGTAAAAGAAACTGAAATTATTTAACGTGGCTCCTGTTTCTCTCAAAGAAACAAGTCCAAATGCTTAGCAAGCACACCTTGACAGGGATTCTTCACTGCAGTGCCTCAACTGTCTTCCTGGAGCCTTTTGCACTTTATTTCAACTAGAGATTCTTAGACAAAGCTAAGAACTAAGAAGCCCAAAGGCAAGAGAATTTATATCTTCTGTTGAAATTGTGCTTTCACTGTTATCCCTGGCCTCTTTAGCTCAGCATCAATGAGGCTTTTGAAAAGGACAAGAGACTCGCTTTCCATGAATTTGCCATGCTCGTTTTTTTTGATACATGTGAACATGTACACACCTAATGTGAAGGTAACCTTTAAAATCCTATTTTCCCGAATGCTTGCTCGCAGTGCTCTCTCAGTACCTGGTAGGGCTTAGGCGAACGTGGCATGACAACCCGGCCTTCTCTCCAGCGGTTGCCCTGGTGCCCGCTGACAGTCCACAGCAGCACATCGGCCGTGCCCTCGGCCGTCTGCTTCCTCTGCTTGATTCTCAGGACGCCAATGTGAGATCCGAACATGTGATACCAGAAGGACAGGCAGAGTTCCGTGGTTTGGCTTGACACACTTGGGCTCACCAGTCGAGCCACCCCATTCTCCTGAGAGCCGCTGGCCAAAGTGTACATGAAGTTACCTCCTCCTGGAAGAGAGGGTTTGAGGGTATGAGACGTGGCTCCTACTGAAACCAGCAGCAACAAGTAACACTGAGGAAACAGCGATAAGAAGCTGACATCCATCCAACCAATCTGCAACTTATGTTCATCCAATTCAGGGTCAAGGTGGAGCCGGAGCCTATCCCTGCAAGCAATGGGAGCAAGGTAGGATACACCCTGGATGGGATGCCAGTCCATTGCAGGGCGCACACACAGACACAACCACGCACACACTGACACTAACACTGACACTTCTGGGAAGGGCCAACCTTCCCAGAAGCCCTTCCCAACATTCCCAGAAGCCAACTAAGGAACTGAACTCGGGGCCACAGCTCTGTAAGACAGCCACGCCGACCCCTGTGCCACCCGGCTATCTCAAAGCTTGACATGTTACACATAAAAACACAGATTATGTACAGGGTAACACACTAAAATGCTATTCGATTAACCTTTAGTTTTAAAAAGTACAATTAGTGTGCAATTGGAGATTAAGGGTTAACGTATAGATAATGACTGTCTGGAATGAGCTGCCAGACATATTATTGGATCTGATGTTATTGGACCCTTCATGAGACGAATGCATAAAATCCGAGGGACAATTTGCGTCTAGCACCCAAATGCAGGAGAAGGGCCCAGTGGACTCTTTGTTGGTAACCTTTCTTATTTCTATTCTTGTTTTGTACGAGGCCAAGGGCTTTCTCTGAGGACTGAAAATCTAAAGTACTTGACAGTGCTCTGAAAAAAGACCAAACGTTCCCGAATTTAACAGCTTTACAATGCTCTCTGAGACAGTAATGCCTTTGCCATATAAAGAGCGGTCTCCTTGCACCACTCTATGATCAACAGCAGATGTGCATTATATCATGATGACAGTATGAGAAGCCGCCTTGGTCTGTGCAGCCACTGTGTTGCAGTTAGTAACATAGACCTGACACCCCCCCTCATGCCTCTGCTCAGTTAAATACAGTGTCAGAAGTCCCCATTAGGAAACTCACCAGTATGGTCCTGGTTAGGTCCCGTATTAAGAGTGGGTGTCCCACCAGACTGTATCTGCCACTCAACATTTGCCTCTTTTTCAGGGACCCAGGTGCAAAATGTGGACTCCTGAGCCCAGCCAAAGTCACAGTTGAACCACAGGAAATCTGCAATCACAGAATAGTAATGATAATGATTATCAGGCCTAGGCCACCAGTGGTTAGCAATTGAATGGTTTACTTTCAGTTCACAAGATGGCAGCAGAGAGCTTTCTGGTGTCTCAGATTCAAATGCGAAGCCGAGAGATTCTAATAAAAAAAGTCAACAAAAGACTAGCGAAATTAAAAGGAGTGGAAGAGATTACAGGACAAATTTCTTACAGAATGAAGTCAAAACACATTAATAAATCCATATCTTTGAACAAAAGCCCCACCAGAGGTATGTAATTAAAAGAGGCTTACAGCAGCAAGCCCTCTTATCTTTAACACTAAACACTAATAACACCCTTAGAAGTTGTTAGACTCAGCGCACGTTTTTCTACTGTAATAACAAGTGCAAGTATTCAAAACATCATAACTTTCCAAAAAGTATATAAACTTAATATAGTCAGAATGAGCACATCAAAAGTTTTCCAAAATAACCATATTGACTGAGTGAAAGCACAAAATGTTTATGAAGAAAGTGGAATACTGTTGTGTATTTTTTATTTAAACTACCACCACCAGCTGAAGTATTAAAAAACAGTCATTTTTAAATAATCAGAACAGTAAACTTTAAAGCAGAAAATGGTAAATGGTTAACATAATGGTCTCACATTCCACAAATTCCATCCCCTAAAGACACCCAGGAAGTTACAATTGCATTCCAAGGGAAAATGTGAAATGGCTAACTGGCTACTGAATTGTTTAAAATAATAGGGCTTCTAGACTGCAGATATAACAGAAAAATGATCTGTATCTTAGGTATGCCAATAAAGTCTCTGTGTTACAAGGCAAACAAATTGAAATAGATATTTCAGACTGCTCTTATTTAAAAAAAATATAAAATCCCCCATAAACCGCAGAAAAGGACGATTTCTATCTTTAAAATTGTGAAAGCTAAAATGAAGATATATTCATAAAAATGTTTAGGGTAAGTAGAGTGGGATATCAATTTTTTCTTAATTGTTACAAAATCATTTTCACGTTAAAATGCACATTTTATCATTCTGGGGGATGAGCACCTTTTAATATTGCACATTTTCTGTATTGAAGTACTGTTTTAAGACAATTCAGCTTCTGAACTTCAGCCAAGTCCTGAACTTTCAGTCATACACAAAACAGCACTGAAACACTGCACTCCCCAGCACATGGACTCCTGTCTTCACCAATTAGCCAAGGTCAGAGCATTGATTCATGCACCTACTGGAGTTTCAGTTAATTAAAATTCAGCGAAGGCTGCTGTCCATTCAATTGAAGACTCTGCGGTAGCAGAGCATTGCTGCCAGAACACATCCCAATCCAGGAAACATTAAGGATGATTCTTATAATAATCTGCTCACCTGGAATGTCATCAGTGTCAACTTCCGTAGGCACCACTGTCGGCATAACACTGCCTCCTGCTGGGAATATAAGAACACACTCAGGCTCGCTGTCAATCTCAATTGTACTGAGGTTGGCAGGCTCTCTTTAAGGGAACACCACTCCCCTTTACTTTCAGGTTGAGCTTCATAGAAATGAGCTCTTTTGAAAAGGTCTGTGGTGGTTTTATTTTAGCACTACACCTACAGCTCATTGAAGACAAAGGATGCCTATTAAAAAACTTTTTATCACACCTTCAAATTTAGGAAAAAACATCGTAACTTTGTGCAAACACAGCTAAAATGGGGTACATTTTTTACTTCTGGTTTCATTTCCCAAATGAAATTTTGTTACCAGAGGCCTGCAACTCAGCAAACACCAGTAAACAGGTTGGATGCCAGCTTTTCAAACAGTCCCTCAATACTCCATACACAGCACCTCTTTAAAAGCGCGGTCATACAAATGATTTGTATTTTCCCCTTCATTTAGTTGCGTCTTTTTGTATTGGCAGGGAATTGTTGGAATACTAAGAAATATTTTAAAATGAAATAGTAAAAAACGAACTGAGGAAAATGCAGATGACCCAGACTACACATTGCAGGTTTATGTACTAGTCAGGCAACATGCAAGTGTGAAACAGAGGCACCGAAATCCAATTTTTGTTCTGACTGATAACTCTACTAAGGGTGCGCCCACACTGTGATATTCTTGAGCAGAGCAGCAGCCGAGATGGGGAATAGGGCCGAGAGGCTCCGGCTGGCAGGGGAATGAGTATGATATTAGCACCTGTCACGTCGTAGTCATCACCTGTGCCACTGGAACAGCTCGCCTGGTCATCCTCACAGTCATCCGGGAGACTCACGGTCGTTGTGGTAGGAGCAATAGTGGGAGCTGAAAGAAAGGTGCAAAAAAACACCCATAAGATATAAAATGCACTGAGCACTTGTTCTGCAAAAACAAATCTTTGTGTGGTTACACCTACAGAAGACATCTTATTTAATTGGCTTCGACTGCAGACTGCAAATATGACGTACACTATAATATGAACACATTGACCAGAAACAGGTTTTCTATGCGTCTTGCCTTCCCATCTTTGTATTTTCAGTTTGATTCTCTTTTACTGGATATTTCTGGACTTCTTCAGGATGCAGAACAAACTCCTCAAGTCTTGGCAACGCTGCCCATAAGCCCTTCCAGTAGTGTTGAGTCTGCTAGGCTGTTCAGTGTGTTTATTTAACTTAAGATTTTAATAAGAAGCTTTAATACTAAGTAGGTTTTTGTTAGGCTCACAAAATTAGGGAGGAAGATTAAACTCTAAAAGTAACTCACTGTTAGAAACGTGAGTGAGATGAACTACCGACAGTGTTATCAAACAGGCCAAAGGTCACACTGAACCATTAGCCAATGAGTTCACTGGAGTCATATGGATTTACTTGTGTGCTTGAGTTTAATTCTTCATGTCTGCTAACATAGGTTGCCCATTAAAGTCACTGTGTTAGCATTAACAGTAAAAACAAGCATTATCATCAAGCCAGAACCCCTTAGGGATTCATCGGCTTACACAAGAAAAGCTGAGAGCCTTTTAGAAATCTGATACGTAAATCAACCTACTTACACTGACCTGAGCATGTTCTATGCTTTTCAAAACGGCTTTTTCAGATCAAGGACTGATTAAAATTATTAAGAAGTGACAAAGAGAAAAGGCCTGTGCAAGAAAGATGGGTTTTTACCAACAGATAGGTATTAAAAAGCCCATGAAGTGCTAAATGAGTTTTACTCAATTCCCCCCTTTTCCCCAATGCACTTTTCACATATACAGGATCAAAGATTTGAGAAAGATAAAGGGGGCAAGCCACATGATTGTGTAGACGTAGGTTTTATTTCCATGCCTAACATTGGTATGAATAGTGCTGCTGTCTGTTCTATATTAGCTGATTCAGATCTAAAGTCCTGCAGCAAAACTGACACTGCTCCAGTTTGGGGTGATCTCATCTCTATGCTTCTGTCTGAAAGGGCTGTACTGTTGTGCATTGTATTTTGGGAAGGGTTTTTATATAATTACAAATGGCGTATAAAGTGAAAAAACTGTAGAATATCAAGCCCGTTCTTTGTTAAATGAAAACATACATTTTATTGCAGGAAAATAAAGGGTTGTGTAGGGTGAACATATCGTAGTGGAATAGAGAGATATGTAGGAAATCAGAATGAATCTTACTTTTTTACATTTCAATGGTATATCTTACACGAAGTGACATAGTCGATACTGTAGCACTTTCACTTAAGACATCAAAAAACATTTTCTGAAAAACTATAATGGCTAGATATTTTATAAATATTTTTTTCAGACAACCAAGCCTGAAGAATAATGTAATGTGAATAACGTCTCATATCTTTCCAAAAAATAAAACTGGAGCTGTACAACTTACTCTTAATTTCTGGGTAACACTGTAAGTCAGTGCTGAATGGGAAGGTCATATACATTCTCCAATGAATACTACCTTGATACAAGCCATAGCAAAGATAGTGAAAAATGTTTGGATTTGTGCACACTTAACTATATCCAGATTGAAGACTTATTGTGATTGCCCTTTGACTGCTCACTCTCGGTTTTCAAAACTCATTACTTTCAATTCTTGGTCTCCGCCTACAGACATAAGTAACTGCGTTAATGTAAAACTATGTTACACTACATCATACAAACACCGTGGTACGGCAACATTTAACCTCCGCAACAGAACCCACCAGTTATTTCATTAAAAAAAACAGGTCCAATGAGTCATTAACACAATTGCCACATGCTCAATGTATGGAATAGGGATCAGGTATTATTTACTGAGCACAAGCTTTCTGAAATCGCGTGTTTGTGGTAGAGCAGAAGGAATCGTTTTGAAAAAAACACAGCAGACAGAGAAGAGAGTCCCAAGCTATGGGCAAAGGTCAGGCCCTACCTTCAACCTCGCAGCCCAAGATCTCCAGGCGCAGACCCAGGCCAGCTGCTGTGGCACGCTCAGGGTAGACCCGCAGGAACCGGGTTCGAAGAGGCTCAAAAGTCCGCACCTCCGGGGTGTCATAGTTCGAATTCCCTTCGAAAATCTGAAAAAAGAACGAAAAAGGATTCAAGATCTACGTGTTGGGAGCGCAAACTCTGATACACCGTTGTTTTGAAACGGAGAGAAGGTGGGTGCGACAAGATAAGTTAGGATCCTTCAACACCCACACTGATGTATATCTGCATGTATTATCTTACATATTAGAAGACATAAGAAAAAGTGAATTAGAATACATGTGAGAAACCAAGTAATATAGAAGGGAGCAAGATTCATATATAAAGCACAATTTCTTAAGATTTTAATTGGGCAAGTGTAATTAAATGAGAGTCTTACTGAGCTTATTATGGGAAACATAATCAACCAATGTATGTGAATGCATAGCTGGGAGCCCAGCAATATGTTTTCCTCACTTTGAAGATTTCTTTTAAGGCTCATATAAAAAGACACGGAAAGCGAAATGGATATCTAGATTCCACTTCTTCATAAATCAAATATCAAGACATCTGGAATAGATTTATTTTCCTGTCTGGGCTCTTGTAATTGGGCGTATAGTATAGTATAGCGGTACATCCTGGGATGTGTGCGGAACACTCAAAGCATACCAGCACTGACAGATATATCTGAGATCTGTATTGATGTCAAACGTTTCTCTCAGCTTCTAGAGCAGCTCGCGGCGCTGAAAAAGTGAAAATGACTGTACGGGTGGAATAGATTGCCTGTTTAGAAAAATGAGCAAAGGCTAATGACTTTAAGAGGGGACTATATATATATTTTTAAAAGAACGTAGAACCCTCTGGAGGACTATAGATGTTGGTGTAAATAAAAATGGTTGGAAAGGAGTATTAATTTGTGTGTAGTTAAAAACTGTATTTACTAATTTTAGGACTCTCAGACTAAAGCTACAGGAAGCTTATATTAGTTGTTATTTTCTATGCTCTTCCATTAGTGCAACTATACCTACAGTACTTTATGCTGGGAATAGCTAATGGCCTGTTTTCCCACAGGGGAGCTACTGTACATCAGCCTGAACACCACAATACATATGACCATGTGAGTACTGTTTAAAATGACTATTTATCACTAATGCCTTTTGTTTGGCAAATTCTGCACTAGATATTATTAACAGACATTACAAACGTGTCAGAAAAATGATGGTGGCTGCCCACACGAACAGTTTGCACACATTATTTTCAGGGGCGATGTCAATTACCTTATAAAAGACACGCTCATTCTGCTGTGACAACTGCCTTGAGGCTTGTGACCAGGGGTACGGTTGTGTCGGAATTTCTCGTTTCATACAAATAAGATCAAGAAGAACTCGACAGGCACGTTACAATGTAAATGAATAATGACTGTTGCTCAATTTTCAGTCAACTAGGATTTCATGTATGCTCAATAAACTGCAAAGGAAATATGTAGGATGTAGTTAATATCCGCTGTGGAAATACTGAAATGAGTCTGATTTTATTGTCTGTATGTTGTTCCGAGAGCTAATTCAGTACCTATTAAAACATGGTTGTGAAGAATAGCATGCAAGGCTGTTTTGGACTGGCTGGGCAGGAGGAGGGCTTGGAGTGGTTCTGTAAGGTACAGGCTAGCCCCACTTCGCCCCACCTTTGGCTTGCTTCCACTGTCGTCCGTGACCATCTTCCAGTCTGAGCCGTTGTTGCTGTAGCCGATCTTGAACTTCCTCATGAAGACCTTGTTCTCCCGGTGTTTGCCCCCCTGGATAACGAGGCCGCGCACCAGCCGCTCCTCGCCCAGGTCCACCTGCAGCCACTCCTTGGTGTATGGCTGGGGCAGCGATGGCAGAGCCCAGCCCGAGCGGCTCGTCAGCAGGCGCACGTTCTCCGGCACCCAGTTCCGGTCCACGTAGGAGGAGGCTGTGATCTGGGCGTCGGTGATGAGACCCGACACCATCCCCAGCATCCCTGAACAAGGGTACTCTGCAAGGGGGGCGACAGAGCGGACGTTAGAGGGTCGTTTCCCGGGCGCGTTAATATCAGCAACAAGATTAAGACCATAGTTTCATTGACCCACTGGAGGCCAGAGCTCCAGTTTACTACGGATAAGGGAGATGTCTGAAAAGAAATCCGCCACATGAATGGAATTCAAGAAAGCCACACTTCCGTAGGAGGCCTGCAGAGTGAAATCTGGAAGGTGGTCGGGAAGGTAACCCAGCCAGGCCCGAGGAAAGGCCTCTGTCTGTTCGCACAGACTGAGGTTTGCACATATTTTCCCACTGTGCTCTTCTAGGATGCAGAAAGTCCTCTCCAGCTGTCATTTTATCACCACTGTCCTATTCTTAGAAGAGAAACTCCAGCCCTACTGTGTTCCATATTCAAAATCTAAAAATGTCAGGCCGCAGCTCTCTGTACAATGGCCACGTAGGGAGTGAATTTAATTAGCTTAATACAAAGCTTTCTGCGGAGCTAGTTCATCCTCCGGTACATTAGACAGCCTCTGTGGCTGTGGTTTTGTTCCTTATTTTAACTACCCCATTCTCCTCCATCAATGACACCTCTGCTTATCTGTAATTCTGACAGAAAATAAGACAAGCAAAATGATATCCTTCCTCTTTGATGCCTCCATTAATGTCTTCTGACCTCTTGCATACTAATTTCCGCCAAGGGTGTTTGTCTCTAGGCATCTAATTAAGCTTCTCATTTTCTTTGATTTAAAGTGCATTTTTCCTTTCATCTCTGTCAGCATCCCCTTTGTCTCTTATCCATTCTCATTCCACATTTATAGCTGTTTTAATATTCACAACCTTCGCCTTTAACACAAGTGCCTGTCTTGTCCGCAAATATGCTATTACAGAGCTCTTCCACTTCTTGAGTGTGTGTCTAATTCTGTATTGTTTTGGACAATTTGAGCTATTTCAAACAAAAAAATAAAAAAAAAACCTTTAACTCCAGGTAACATAAAACTAGTACAAAAAAAGGCCTAACTTCAGTGAACTTGAGGGATGTCAAACTGTAGTTCTATGTTTGGTAAGCAAAATCTCTTAGATGTCTGGAAAGTAATTTATTGGCAATTCTTAAACTGCTTTAAAAGAAAACTTGAACTGACTCCAAAAATGCACATGCACTTTCTTATATTACAAAGAACTGCTCTGAAGAACATATCTGAAGAATGGCTTGGCATCTGTGAAAGACCTTTGTCAGACACAATGGTGTGGAAACCAAGTTAACAAAACTGCTCATTTTCTTTGAAGGACGATAACGACTCTGTTATTTTTTTAACACTTGGATAATAAAGTAACTAATGAAACTCTGCTGTAGAGCTTGATAAGTCAGGCCACAGCCGCAGAACTGCCACCAAGAGAGACACGATGATTTAATTATTCCACCTTCTGAAATATTGTAAGGATCTGCAGAAAGGTGGGGTGAGGTATGTTAGCAAGGAATCAGAGGCGGCTGATGGATTCAGTCATTACTCTGAAGAACTGTACATTTATGAAACCCCATTCCACCCAAAAAAAAAACCAGCTGCCACTTGTGTTAAAATGGATTTCTATTTTTATTGCAAATTTGACTTTCCACACCACTTGCATAAACAGTAATTCTATAGCCTTCCCCCTCCCCACCCACCTGTTTCTTTTCATTCCTTGTGACCCTCATCTTCTGCTACCCACCCCATTTATGCCAGATGACATATTTTCTTTATCGCTGCGGTTTGATTTGGTTTTGAGCGTCATTTGGACTGACTAGGACTTTGCCACAGCTATCCTGGCCTTCTAAGAAAAAACTGAGACTGGGCTGCTTGTATTTTGGCTCCTTAATCACAGCCTGGAGCTCCTTCGGTCTACAAGATGTACGAAACAGTGAAGATCAAGTTTCTACTCTTTCTATCTCAATTGCCTCATTGCTGCGTCCAATACCCTGGCAAACACAAGCACTACGGAAAAACTAATAAGGACTTTCAAAATCATAAGAGAGCCAAGACATTTAATCTAAAAGTGAAAGCTAATAATGGGATAAAAACTGCAGAATGCCAAAATGGCCAAAGTACATTTGTCTGTAAATGTGCTGTCCACATGTAAGAAAATAAATCTAAATCTAGTAGTGCCAGGTCAGTCAGGGGGAAATACTCACTGAGACTAAAAGCAGGGCCTGCTGTTAATGTTATTCATTTTGAATGAAGTACATCCAAACACCAGGTAACATTAATATGTAATAAGCTTTATGCACCATTCATTTATAATGCAGAACGCTGCTATCAGCAGAAGAATACTCCCACTGACAGATGTATGGCTATATGACAATCATTTTTTGCTTTGAAGCGAAAACAATAACCAACATTTATGCTAGAAACCGTCCAGATTTCTGATGAAAATATAGAGGGCACGCATTATACAGTACAGCTAAAGTCACTGTGAAAGACTGCTTTAGAATGCACCTCTGCCTTAGAAAGGCTTACTTTGCCTGATGAAATGACAGGAATTTTGAGACAGAATAATAGTAGGCTTGAAAAAAAAACCCACTTGCATCTTATTAATTCTACGATGCAAAACACATTAATGAACCCAACAAGCACTACCAACAAAAACACAAATCACCAAAAGAGAATGGCAGGGAAGTGCCACGAGGGACATTATATTAATGTATGGAATATGATTTGTTTCTGTCAACTGCAAATATTACTGGGAAAACATATCGTAATAGATTCCATAACACAGTATATATCATCTTATAATTACAGCACCACCCGCACAGAACCATGCATGCCGACGATGAGAACACAGGATGACAAGAATCAGAGATCAAGTGGCTGAACTGTCACTTCTGCTGCCCAGTGGGACAGTGCTAACAGTTCCATAAATCATGTAAGAGGGTCTGAACTAACCTGAGATTTTACAGCCGTACACCTCAAACCGCATGGCTATGCCATTCTCCCATGACACAGGCCTAATGCGAATGAACCTCGTCAGTGTTGGCTTTGGCAGCATCGTCTTGGCAACATCTGCTGGATTTGTGTTCCCTTGGAAAATCTGTATTTGAAACAAAAGGCATGAATTATTTATCATATTTATTTAAAGAACTCACAAGGAAGACAACCACTGAGACTGAAGTCTTATTTCGTGCTGTGTCCCAGAAAAAAAAAAAAGACATTCACTTATCTAGGTCATCTTCCTCAAAACAGAGGAAGTGTTTATATCATGATTTGAACAGGATACTTCTGTAGGTTTCAGCACAATAAAACCTTTCAGCGATTTTAGGTCATCACAGTGAAATTCATCCTGAAGAACTCAAGGCTGATTGTTCATTCAAGTTCAGTGGTTGTCAAAATATCTTCACCTTTCGGCCGGCATACAATGTAGATCAGTGGTTCTCAAACTGTGGTACGCTTACCGGCAGTGGTACGTGGAGTGCCACCAAGTGGTACGCCAAATGACCCTGGAACTGTGTCGTGTGCGCTGAAAAATCGGGACGGGTTTTCATATTTTGTATTTTAATAC